ATCCACCATGTTGGGAAGCGTCGTCACCTCGGAGGAGAGGCCAGCGTCCCATCTCTGGGCCACCTCGCTTGAACTTTGAGGCGCATACACATGCCTCTCTTTGGCGAGGCTGAACGCCAAGGGAAGAAGCCTCAACATGGCTGCACCATCCACCATGTTGGGAAGCGTTTTCACCTCGAAAGAGAGGCCAGCGTCCCATCTCTTGGCCACCTCGCTTGAACTTCGAGACTCATACACTTGAATTAGAGTAATATTCCCAGTTCGGCTGCAACGATTTATTTTTAGGATCTCCTCAGGTTACAGTTATTAAGTTTAAGTACAATTTATTTGCTTAAGTCCAATATTGGTCATAACTCGTGAGGCTTGCATACAATTTATCTGTTAAGTGATTGAAGTTAGGATACCTAGTTAAAGTTATTTAGTTCTTCAATCAATATTACGTTCAATTACTTAACGAGGCCAACGCACTTGAGAAAAAGAAACAACATTGAATGAAAAAGAGATTATATTGATTTTCATCTGATATTACAAAAGGGGGCCTGGGGCCAATACATCATGGGTAACTAAAAAGAAAACTATCCTAAGCCTGGGAAGATGATGGAGGTACCTCAGCAGCTGGGACTTCTGCAGCTTGAGCATCAGAATTTGCTTTTTCTGCCCCTGCTACTTCATCTCCCACCACTTCAACAGCTGAGGTTTGAGGCACTTCGTCCACAAACTCCGACCTAAGTTGCAACAGATCCTGATTGGGATACAACTCTTCAGCCCGCTCCATCATTTCGGAATAAGCAAAGTTCCTCCAGTAAGTGCTGAAGCTCTGGTACTCCTCGGTATTGTGGAAGTTGGCGATGTAGTCTTTCACTACCTCCTCCCTTGCATTTTGGGCTTCCTCCCTAGCATGGGTCGCGTCATCGACGTACCACTTAATTTGGCCCTCGATATACTTGTATGAATCTTGGGCCCCTGCCAGCTCCCTGTTAGCCTTCTCCAAAGCTTCGGCTATCACCTTCTGGTGGTCATTGGAAACCTTCACCTTCTTAGTCAAGAAGGCAACCTCGCACTAGGACTCATGTACCTCCATCTTCAATGCCTCTATCTGAGCTAAGGCAGATTCTAACTTGGCCGATTTTTCAAGCTTTTGGGCCCTAGCTTCTTCAACCTCGACCTTAGCTGCCTTCAACTCCTCTACAAGGGAGGCAGCCTTCCTCTCAGAGGACCGTGTCTTCGTCTGAAAGTCAGTGAGGGCCTTCCTACACTCCACTGCGACGCCAAAGGTCCTAACACTTTGGCTCACAAGAGCCCTTGTCAAGTCCGTGGCATCAAAGGCGAAGGCGTGCAGCTGCTACCGATCCATCCAGAATTTATAAAAACATTCAGTGGCGCTTCGGATCTCAGGCGGCAAGGCCTCCACCAAAGCTGGGGCTAGAGGCTCCTCCTTGCCGGCAAGGAAGTTCGGAGACTTTCCTTGCACTCGAGCAGGCTTCTGTTTGGCAGCCTTCTCCTCGACCACCTCAGCTTGCCTCCTTGCAGCCTCCTCCCTCTCCTCTTCAGCCTCGGCATGCCTAACCATTTCAATCTTAACCGCTTTCAAGGCGGCTTCCAGTAGCTTCGGCGGTCCGACTTCTTTGCCTTGGGACACAGAACTCCCAAATTTGCCAGACGAGCTGGAGATGTGCACCAGTTTCCTCTTCTTTGGTTCCTCAGGGACTTTCTTCTTCCCCCGAGGCTCCTTGTACTTCTCGGGCCTCTGGGGGGTCCCCTCTTCGGAAGCCCGTGATGTGTTGTCCTTAGAGAGATGCTCCACTCTACCTGGGACCTCTTTGGCGCCAATTGACCTCGGCTTCAGGGGCCTCGTCTTCACAGTAGAGGTTGCCTTAAGTATGGACGCCATGGCAGGAGCTGGGTACTCCTTCCTCTTAAACTTGTCTGCAGAACACAGCTTGTCAGTATCAAAATGAAAACACAAAAATATACAAGTGTGGGAGCTTCGTACCTTGGGAGGCCATTAGCTCAAAGTCGAGGAAATAGCGACTTCTATCGATGAGGTGGTCGAAGTGGCGAATCTTTAGAGGTCTCTTGTAGATGTCCTCTATCACCTCAAACTCCTCCCTGCTCAGCTCGAACCTCGTACTACTATCTGCAAAGGACGCTCCAACAGTTGAGAAATAAAATTTTTAATACAGATTACAAACTTGGGCTGGGAGGCTCACGAGTTTCGTAGTACGGGTAGGTACTGTGCAAGCCAGGGTTTTGTGCCCCTCCACTGCCTGCCACCTGCTTCGCCCAGAACCATGACTCCTTCCACCCCTTGATGGAAGAAGGCAGTCTCACCACAAATGGTGCATGAGCCCCCCAAGGACTTAGGTAATGCCACCCCTTCGACTCCTTCCCTATTACCCTAAGCTGGAATAGGGTCATGAAGACGTGGAGAGGCATGTCCTCCCCAAGTGATACTTCCTTCCACAGGAAGTACGAGTCGACCAACGACCTCCACCCGTTTGGCAGAACCTGGGTCGGCGACAGCATGAAGTTCCTCAGCACCGGCCTAAAGAAGGGGTGCAGAGGAAGACGCATACCTGTCTTAAACAGGTATTCACTTACTGCCACACAGCCCGGCCTCGGATAACAGGCCCGCTCATGGGTTTTGGGAACTAACGTTTCCACATAGTAAGACACACAGTACCTCTCCCTAATCTCCCCCAACCTCTTCCCTGTCATATTTGAAGGCACCCTAGACGCCCTCTACTCTTCACTATAGTCTATTGGCTCCTCAGTCATAGCATACATATCCATCTCGGAATCCCCCCTATGACTGACCCCATGGCCTAAGGACGCTACAGTGACCAACTCCTTACCCGAAGTCGACTCCATCTTAGAAATGACTAAGAACGCAGTAAAAGGAGAATTTTCTGTGAAAAATACCTACTGAAAACTACGCGAACAAAATGTGCCGGAAAAGCAGTGAACGAACAGCCTCAACGTCGGAATGTTTAAGTTCTAAGAGAAGAAATCAGATTACAAGTGTTGGAAAATCCAGAAAAAGGGAGTTCTCTCGCCTTTTATAAAGGGCCAGGACGAACCCCCACCGTCAGATCGAAACTCATTCAATCTGAACCCTTCATTTTAAATCAAATTCGAGGCATAGAATTCAAACGATTTTTCAAACCTACGCCTCAGATTTAAGTGTGTCTCCCACGCACCTCAACCTATGCGTCTGCTTTTAGAAGCTCTAGCTATTCTACTAATTACGATTTTAATTCGGCGGCAGCAGGCGCCTTGGAAGTTGCAACGGTTCAGCCACATTTTCTAGAAAACATGCGCAAAACATTAAATCATTGGCACAACTGCCAAGGAACAATTATTGTCAACGAAGCTCTGCTTCATCTTCAATATTCAACCATTAAGCCTCGCAGGTTCGATTTTCCAACCACCTCGGCTTCATCTTCAACATTCAGCCATCAAATCTCGCATGTTCGATTTCCCAACCACCTCGACTTCACCTTCAACATTCAGCTATCAAGCCTCGAAGGTTCGGTCTCCCCAACCACCTCGACTTCACCTTCAACATTCAGCCATCAAACCTCGCAAGTTCGGTCTCCCCAACCACCTCGGCTTCAACTTCAACATTCAGCCATCAAGCCTCATAGGTTTGGTCTCCCCAACCACCTTGGCTCATCTCCATCTTTCAGCTCTCCCAAGCCTTGCACATTCACTTCATGCCACCACCTCGGCTTCTTCATCATTCACCTGCAACAACACATTCCTAACTCCAACCATGATATAAATATCTATACTTGGACTTGGGGGACTATTATTTATGGTTCAAAAAATTCTTTCAAATTTTACCCAACCCACTGGCTTTACTTCATTAAAGTCCACGCATTACATAAATATCTATACTTAGATTTGGGGGACTATTGTTACGTGTTGTCATACTTGGCCAACCTACTTGGGTCTATGGCTCACTCAATCCGAACTACGTGGCGCTCTAGCCGAGGTGGCATGTATGGCTGAGGCCCATATGCCGAGGCCTATGAAGATAGCTGAAGCCATAAAGCAGAAGTACTATGTGAGTGGCAGAAGCCTCCGAACCATGGAGGAACGTCTTCCATAATCACTTCTCCCAAGAGATCTTCTACATAAAGATTTTGTTAGAATGATTGATGGAACGTTTGTCATAAGTATACATGTCAAGTCTTGTCATTAACATGGGGGTTCTGCATAAGCAATAAATGCGCAGCAAGCTAGTAAGTCAAGGATGATGCCTAGAATTGGATGTTTGGATTAAAGAGATGAGGCCACGTACCACCTCATCCAATTGCTGCCATTTCACATGTACCATTATAAATACTTTCCTTATGTAACATTGAAGAACTAATGCAAGCATCAATACAAGAAATCACACTTTATTCTCTCTTTCATATTACTTTACAACACAATACGAGTTCATACATATTTACATGCACATCCATGAGCACCAATTGATAATTATTGTACAATCGGATTAAGAACATCCCGTTGGACTCCGAACGTTCTCGTCCCGCGTTGTTGAGCTACTCCCACGCCCTTGATCAGTTCGTTCTAGACCGTCCATGCATCTTAGCGTGTAAGACCTTCGCTCACGTGTGCGTGGGTGGGTCCGGCATCTGTTGACAATATTTTTTGGGGTTAACAAAACTAAAGTGTGGTATGTAGATGAGGAGTCATCGCCTGTAGAGGAGGTTGTGGTGGAGAAGTCTAATGCCACTCCACCCGACAGCACCGACTAAGGAGGAGAAAACAAAGGACAAAAAGGCAGCGAAGGCAGAGGAAGAGAAAAAAGTCACTTTAGAAAAAAGATAAGAAAAAAAAATGGGCCAAAATTGACACCCCCTCTAGTTTTGGGCCTAAGTAGCAGGCCTCATTGACCTCGCCATAGAACTGGCTACTATATATATATATATATATATATATATACATACATACATATACATATACACACACACACACCAGTTTGCTTCTTTCTCTTCTCATTCGTCTTTAATTTTCATTATTGAATTAGTTCCCACCCCACCTGCACCCTGCTATATATCTCCCCAGTGTAAAATGAATGAGTGCTATTTCCATCCTGAAGAGTTGGTTGTGGGGGTTTGTGCATTGTGCTTGAATCAAAGACTTTTAGTTTTAGCTTCAAAGCAAGACCAAACAACTCATACAAAGAAACCTTCCATATCCCTGCCAAAGATTTTTACAATCAGTGGTGTACTAAATGGCCAAGAAATCAGACACCTCAAATCCCAGGATTGTATCAGTTCCTCCAGCAGTCAAGAAGGTAAGAAAAGTGTTTTCGATTTGTGTTTCGTCTAATTAATGTTCTCGATGATACAACATTTGGCGGTTAATTCCTAGAAATTCTTGGGTTTATGTTTATGTTTATGTTCTTGATCAGTACCATTAAAAAAAAAAAAAATACCTAGATGAAGAAACAATAAAGAGAAAGAGAAGTTTAGAGTCTTGCATACCGTTGATTTGCATCCGCATATTAACAATAGTTGGGTGAATTTTAGTGGAAGTATTGAATGGAAAGATTCCTGTAATAAGATTTAACAAGTTTTACGCTAACAGACTCAACTTTCATCTTCTCTACCGAGCTTGGGACAGGATATTGTTGATAGCATATATATCACGATAAATTTATCATTCAGCAATGTGATTTTTAAGTACAAATGAAGTACTTAAAATGTAAATATAAATCTATTAAAAAAAAGGGCAATTAACTTCCCTAAAATTATGCAAATAGTACAAACTAGAAAACTTTGAGGGACCCGATAGTTTCTTGTTTCACACTGCCTAGTCAATTTTATTCTTAGCAATAGATTGGGAATCAAATGTCATAATGCATTAAGATCAGCCTTTTGCAGAATAATTTTATTTATTTTTATATGGGACCAAGAATTCAATTCTATATGTTTGAAATGTTGTCAAATCACTATTGAAAAATGTATTTTGATGGAAAAATGGGGCTCAAAGAAGTGCTATATAATAGTCAAGTTGTATTCCTTTTTCTTTCCTTTGATCTGAGTATATGCTAAAGTAAATATACGACCTGCTATTTTGACAGTAATGATTAAATCATACTGGATAATATTAAACAATATATATTTGTTCATTATGAGTCTTATCTAGTATTTTGCATATCAATACTTCAAATTTTCTCCCATTGCAGACTCCTTTATATCAATCAAATTTGAAGACAATGGTGTTGCCTCTTGGGACGAGAGCACAACCAAGAAAACAAAGTGTGTAGTAGAGCAAGCGAAACCACGTAGCACGCTAATGTGGCGGAAGCGGATTGGGCACCTCTTCCAGCTCAGCAGATGGAGGAGGTCTAGTAAACACAGTGTGGGCACAAAGTTAGAAGGGGCAAAGGTTAGATATGGATGGATAAGGGCCCTTGCAAAGAGGAGGACCAAAGAATAAAAGGTTTGGACAGAAAGAGACAAGCTTGTCCACCACTACTTCCAGATTTGTGTGTAGGATTTGAAGGCCTAGTGTGAATGGAAAGTGATCATACAATATATGAATGAGATGGTACAGCCAAATTTTCTACCTTATCATCAATTCCCCTGCCAAATGTATAAAATGATTTTAGTGTTGAATCATAATAGAAAAAATTATTGAACAATTAGAAAAAGTTTATGGAAAAAATCCATTATTATTTTGGAAACCACATCACCCTAAAGTCATGATAGAATTAAAAAAATGTTATAATAAGAATCAAACCAAGAATGTAGACTATAGAAGATATACAAGAATTCAAAAATCAAATAAAAAAATTATTAGAACAAAAACTTATTAGACCTAGTAATGGATCTCATAGTAGTCCAACTTTTATAATTATGAAACATTCTGAACATGTTAGAGGAAAAGCTAGAATGGTTATAAATTATAAAGAATTAAATAAATATATTAAATTTGATGGATATTTTTTACCAAATAAAGAAGTTTTAATAAATCTTGTAAAAGGAAAATAATATTATTCTAAATTCGACTGTAAATTAGGATTTTGGCAAATAAAAATGGAAGAAGATAATATACAATATACTTCATTTAGTATACATCAAGAAAAATATGAATGGTTAATAATACCATTTGGATTAAAAAATGCACCACAAATATATCAAAGAAAAATGGATAATATGTTTAAAAAGTTTAATGAATTTCTAATTGTTTATATAGATGACATACTGATATGTTCTAATAGTAAAGAAGAACATAAGAATCATTTAATCAAATTCATAAATGATTGTAAAAAAGAAGGAATTATACTTTCTAAAAAGAAATCTATAATAAAAAAACAAGAGATATATTTTCTTGGATTATTAATAGACAAAAGAGAAATAAAATTGTAGACTCATATATCTAAAAAGATAGAAAGTTTTCAAGATAAATTAGAATTCAAATAACAAATTCAAAATTTTTTAGGATATTTAAATTATTCAGAAGGTTTTATTGAAAATATTTCTAAGAAAAGACATAAAATACAAATTTTACTTAAAAAGACAAATATTAAAGGAAGGAATGAAGAACACACAAAAATAGTTAAATCATTAAAAGAAGAATGTAAAAATTTACCAAAATTAAGATTACCAGATAAAAAGATAATTTGATTATTTGGCATCAATATTAAAAATAGATTTAAATGAAATTTGTAGATATTCAAGTGAAATTTTTAATCAAGCAGAAATAAATTATACCACTCATGAGAAAAAATTATTAACAATTATTAGATGAATAAAAAAATTCTCATTATTTCTGTTATCCAAGAAATTTATTGTTGAAACTGATAATTCTCAAGTTGCAAGATTAGTCGGGAATAAATTACTATCAAAACCTCAATACAGAAGACTCCATAGATGGCAAGCTTATTTAACATTTTATAATTTTGATATAGTTCATATTAAAGGAATTAATAATTTTCTTACAAATTTTCTCAGTAGAAACATAGATTTTGTTGATAGATAAAACTAAGGTCATGAAATTATACCAATCTAGCCAACATATACAAAAACGACAGATTTTCTTAAAAAAGAATATGAAGACATAAATACTGGAGCAACACAGATCTCAGATATGTTCAACTCAAATATAAAAATATTGTTGAATATTACTACTGAGCATCATAAAGAGACCATAGAACTCAAAAATCAAGTTGATACTATTGCAGCACAACTAAAAGATATACTGTCTGAGATAGATATATCCAAGAGCTCAGAAATTAGTTTTCCAAATCAATACCAAACAGGGGCAAATGGAAGCAGCAGTGGACCCAGACGTGACAATATACCAACTGATAAAAAAAGATATTCCATTTCAGTATCATCAACCAAAAAAGTGATGATACATGGAGATAAAAGAGATTCTAAAACAATCAGTATCATAGACCAAGAAGATAAAATTTCTTTAGATCCAAAAAAAGAAAAATATGCTGAAATGGTCAGAATTGCTTATGAAATAAAAATGAGTGATTCATAATTCATTTATTCGGGAAATAATGTTTATCCCAGAATAACAGTTACGAATGGAGGAGATCATTCATTTATAAAAATTATGGCAGCCTATAGATTTATGGATTTGATATATCCAAGAAAAGACTTGATTGAAATTTCAAAATTTGATGACATATTCATAAAAGAAGTATCAAGATTTGCCAAAGGACGAATAATATATTTGAAATTTTTCAATAAGTCTTGAATATGATGGAGTTGTTTACTATCCAGTAGAACACATAATCTCGATTGAATATGTTGCAGCCAATTTTCAAATAGATGTAGTGGAAAATGATAGAAAAATTTCAAAAGTATTACAGAAAATAATAGAAAAGTTTCAACAGTAACAAAATCATGGATCAGACATAGAAGAGCACTTGAAATTAAAGTCATTTACAACATTGCCAAAAATTTGTTTGATAAAAAATTCTCATACTTGTGCCAATATGAAAATTGGATGTTGGTATCCAATGGAGGGTATGGAAAATCAAAAATTTTAAAACTATATTATAAGATTTGATATACATCAATTTTCAGGATGTCTTACCACTATAAAAGAATCCTGCCAGCTAAGGGAGTGCCCCAACTGCATGTGAAGAAATGAAGGAAGAGGACAATAATAGAGCACCTTTGACAAAGATATATGAAGGACAATAATACAGCTCCATGCGAGGACATTGAAGATAAAGAGCAATAATAGAAAAAAATGCTCTTTGGATAAAAAGTTGAAGTAACATGTAAAGATGTAGGCCTAAGGAGGAAAATAATAGAAAGACAAGTGTACCTTGCTGATATACTCAATGATGTAATAGAGTCTCATAAATTTGTATAAATAGAGACATTGTCATAGAAATAGATAATATCATCTTATCTAGAAATCTCGAATTGTAAGCAATAGCTACTCAAAAATCATTCTCAGTTTGAAAAATCAGTTTTTCTGGAAATCTCTTTGTATCAAATAGAAGTTTTGTATAAATTCTAATAGAGATAAAACTCCAATATTTTGATATGAATATGAGTTTCTAAATCTTTTTCCCATAGATTCTTGAAAAATCTGATAAAAAGTTTCCTTCCTATTTTAACAAAAAGAAAGTTTTTCTTTAACAGAAATCTATGATTTTATTCTTTAGAAGTTGATACAGTGAGAGCAAGTAGCTGAAACAGTAACAATTCCATGAAAGCAGGAGGCCGTTGAAGGAGGCAGTTTATAGATTCAGAGCTCGAAGGTCACTCGGTTTTAAGAATACAAGTCCAGATCAAACCTAAAGTAAAACTATTAAACTTTTACTAAAATTAGAATAAATCTTTTTAAGATCTTAAGGAATCGTAGGAATTAATTGATGATTATGAATAAATGTCAGGATATACAATTGAAGGATTAGATAATCTTTTAGAAAAAATAAAGAATATTATCTCTCAATTAGAAAATATAAATTTACCATTTGAAAAATATATTATTTTAATTAGAAGATATGAAATATATGTTACATATTATTCTTACTTATTAGATCATAGAATGAATTTATATTCATATTAGATGATATTTATGAATTGGGTTTTGTGACAAAGTTAAGGAATTTTCTGGGATTTGTGGAGGCATTAGCGATGAAAAGTTTGCAATTGGAAATATTTGATTGGTGAAAAATTAGTTTATGTGGTTCCAAGGGAAGAAAATTCAAAAAAAGAAGAAGTTCAATTCTGGTGAAGATATTAGTCTGAGTTTTGCTAAAATGAAGGTTCCTTCCAATGGATATATGGCCAATATGGGAGAAGGTTTTTAACTTTCATTTTTTAAAATTATGCTTCTTGTTCTTTGCTGTTATTTGATTTCAGATACCATGTCTCAACTTTTTATACCATAGTGAAAAGCTTTTGTTCTCTGCCAATTCATAAATTTGGGCAAGTTCAAGAGCTTGAAGTTTTAATATCCTCGATACAGTATGAGAATCAACTTGCTATTCATCCATTCGTTTTACATATTCAGGAAAGGAATGCTAAATATCGAAAATGTGAATTTATTGTTGTTCGATTCTTCGTTTGTTTACTACATTTTCTTGGTCTGTATGTAGAGTTCTAACTTTTATTTTGTGTGATTTTTTGTATTTATAAGTTGTTACTCGAATTAGTAATAGGTGGCATTGTTTGTAGATTAACAGACTTTCTTTGAGATCTCAAAGGCATAAATTTGTTATTGCTTTATATTCAATTCTATATGTGATTTTCTCCTGCATCTCAATGCTTTCAATATACATGCGAGTAAGGAGTGCACACTCCGTGCACACAGAGAGTGAAAGGTGTGATTATTGTAACTATCATGTTACAAAGTAAATGATTTAACAAATTAGAGAACAAAAAATAATTGCAAACAAAAATAGAAGAAAAAATTACAGGCAAAAATAAAAAGAAAGTTATTATAAAATTTTTAAATTAAACTGAAATAATTAAAACTAAAAATAAATATTATTTAATGAAAATTAAAAAAATTGCATTTTATCGTAAAACGAAAGGAATTAAAAAGAATTTTAAATTAAAAAAAATTATTTATAATCTGAAGAAAATAGAAATTTTAAAATAATTTTCAAAAAAATATAATAATAATAATAATAATAATAAAGAAAGCTACAAAAATTAAATAAAGAGTATATAAAAATAATTTTTTTAAAATTGAAAAAAAAAGTTTTATCATGGAGAAAAGAATTAAAAAAAAATTTAAGTTGAAAAAAAAAATCATTTATACTGTGAACAAGAAATTATTTAAAAAAAAAGAAATAAAAATTCTCTCCGGGCATGGAGAGAAATTCTCCATGAATGGAGAGAAATCTCTCCCTCTATGGTGTGTGTGTGGATGGAGGGATTTCTCTCCATCAACATACAATTGAATGTGTGAGGATAGAGGGCTCATCCCAATTTTTTTTTTTTTTTTTTGGTAATTTTTTTATTTTTATGATAAAATTTAATTTTTTTAAATTTCAACTAAACAATATTTATATATTCTTTATATAATTTTCATGACTTTATTTAATTTTTTTTAATTATTTTTTTAAAATTTGTTTTTTCTTCATATTATAAATAAATTTTTTCGATTTAAAATTCTTTTTATTTAATAATT